AGGTTTCAAAGCTTCTCGTCATTAAACAGAACTTAACGAGGAGAAATATTTCTCGATGAATTCAAATGAAATATTAATCTTCCGTTATCAATTATTATACTTTAGAGCTATGGGTACACATTCTAGAATTTCCCTTTCTTCAATAAAGTATTCATGACAAAGTTGTGTCATGGTTCAGAAATCAATCATAGACCAAAGGATTGATAATTAGTCTGTAAATACTCTAAGTACCGAAATGAGAAATATCTTTTTCCTTATTATTATCCTGTAGGATACCATTTGAGTGATTTTCCCAAGATATAAAGTCCCATGAAGGTCGATAAAATCAAAATAATTACTGATACAAATCTCGATCATCATCTCATAAAATATTCACCATTCCGCTTGTTCGTTTCAATGATAAAAGAAAGGTATCTTCAGTTTCCTTATTTTCTCATCGCGGGAAACTGCGTTTCATAATGCTCTCCGCTGCACCGCAGAATTTTCCCGGCTAAAGAACGTTGTCCTCGGTCCGTTGTCGGCGCGAGAGAAAGGAGCTGATGAAATTTCGTAGTGATAACCCGTAATTTTCTAATAGTTCATCCAACCCGGTCTCGTAAAAGTTAATAGATACTCCGGCCGGCGCAAACATTGCGCGGAACGTTCATTTGTCTTCGGCGGCTACGCGGCATCCGCGTCGGTTTACCGTAAATCGAAAACTTTTCCGGAAAGGTCGAGGCTGTTCCAGAACACTCGCAGAACAAATTGACTTCTCGCCTTTCCGCGATTAGGCTTGTAACAGTCGCTTTATCGGTAACAATTCCCAGTTATCGAAGTATATTATCCGTTTACATTTATTATAGGCATTAAATATGCATTATTTAATCTTCGTAATACTCGAAACAGTGTGCTCCTTCATCCTTTCCTTCGCAGATCGCTCGAAACCTAAACTGACCCTGAAATTTCTCTTAATTTCTACCGACACGAGTCTGACCCATGAACAAAATCACACATTTTCTTTAAAATAACTTTGAAAACATAATTATAGAATGATCTAACTGAAACTATGAGATGTACGAGTAAGTTAACCCTTTGCAGGGCTCCGGAGCAGAGCTGAAAATTTGTCATTACAAACTGTCAAATTTTGTCGTTAAATATATTATAATATTTATAATTCATAAAAGAGTAAAATACATCTACGACTTTTCTTTTCGTGCCTGTATCGTTTATTTATATGTTAATATACTTTATTAAAATTACTTCAGTTGTTGGTAATGTCAGTGAGAAAAAGCTTCGAGTGCAAAGGGTCAATACAAGCGATAAAAGTAAAATGAAAACAATTACTGTGAAGCTAGCGTTGAAATCAATTATTTAACCAACGTACTCGTTAATAACCATTGCTCGGAGAACTTTCGAAATTCGAAGTTCCCTTAAAATTCGAGGATGAGCGTGGAATTTCTCTTCAACGAAGCAACTTCGATTTCACGAGATTTCTATAAACATTCATTCGAAATAGCGCCGAGGTTGATTTTCCGATCGAGAGGAGACGAAAGGAAGAAAGGAATACAACGTCCCGGCACGATTTCTCGAGTTTCTAAGTTCCCTTAATTATTCCGCGGCGGTTTCCGCTGCATTTAAATAGCGGATCGCCGGATACCGAACGGGCGAGGATAAACCGGCGATTTTGAACGATGATCGCGACAATCCGCCATTTTATATTCCCGTTTCCACTTTAACGAGGCGCAGTAAAAGGCGAGGTGGGTTTTTAGAATCTCTATGGGTTTATTCTTTTTCCTCTTTTCCATCGGCGGCCAGCTGGTTTAGTATGCGCAGGAGGCCGCGACGCGTTCCGTTCAAGTTCGTACAGGAGTACGGTAGTCGGGCGTGGCACCATGAAAGCCGGGAAAGTGATATCTCTTTACTGTCAGTGTGCTCTGTTCCATTCAGGTACGGATTAACAATTCCCGTTGCCCCTGTTGCCATTGTTGCCCTGGAACACGTTCACTGCCACTGTTTTCAGCTATCGGAACGTTGCCGAGGCAACACAGTCGCGTTCCACTTGGAATTCCTCGAACGTAATTAGTTATCCACGTATACGTTCATTGGTTCACCATTAAAATAAATCTAGACTTTGCGGAATGAAACACTCAAATCGTCTGTTCAATTAAGAATTGTTTGTACAAAACTGTGAGTAGTGTTCGGAATTTGAACGTTTCTTTTTATTGAATATCGTCGTGTAAGATTGTGTATTAAGGAGTAATAAATATTGTATTATGCAGGTGATAATTATAAGTCGATAGATAATATTGCTTGGAATATTGTGTGTATTCATATGTATAAAGATTTATGTATATCTGAATGAAATTACGAATGCAAACAGATGAAACCTGTAAATGAAGAACTTGTAAGTTTGATTGAAGGTTTGATTGTAGTTAATGGAGAGAGATTGTACGTGTTAATATAGATGTTTGTTTCATTGCAGTTCGTTAATCGATTTGTTTCCTTAAAGATTAATTAAGATCTTGGGAAGAAACGATGGTATGAATCTAGAGTATATTACGGGTTGAATAAAATGGGGAATTTGCGATGTTTAATAACAGTTATGAGTGTTCCTGAATAAATAACGTTTCGAATAAAAGCTTCAGAGGTTTAGGAATGCTGTCGTTACGAATTGCCCGCTGAAATCACAGATTTGCATAAGTATCGATTTACATATTGCTCAACCAAATAAATCTGAGATTTAATCAATTGTATAAAGAGTCCGCGGTTATTAAAAAATATTATTTAGAAAGCCTCGCGCCTACCCGCCGGTATTAACGTTCAATTATATTTTCGTTCGGTTTTTACGTAACGAATGTTAGCAATAAATTCGGAACGTAACAAATTTGTAGCTCGAAGACAGTGTTTATTATGTAATTACGAAATTTTTCGAGGAAGTTATGTGAAATTGACGCTCGCATTACGTTGCGATCGTTTCTAGCTCGCTTTCAAAAATCCTGCTCGGTGTCCACGGTTTTCGTGCGCCTTTTTCGAGCCGGCGGTTGATCAACCGTGAGATTCTAATTAGGGAGAAGTTATGAAAATCGTTCTCACTTCGGCCGGTCGTGTGTGATCGGAAGTGGATGCTGACGGTTCTTACGGGAATATCGTTCAAGGATGAAGAAAGGTTGAGCGAAGGATTATGTAAAAGCTTGAAGAAATCGGTGATGCTTTGTACATTCCTCGAAAGTATATTACAAGGCCAATTATTTCAGGAGAAATTAGCATTCGCCGTTAATAACTCACTCGAGCTTTACGGAATATTGATTTCTCATTCGATTTTGGAAACGTTTTAATTTCATCGCGTTGATTGGCATCTGTAGATGAAAATTTCGGCACGGCTAATTCGTAAATATAATTGATACATCTCAAAATAATTGAATTGAAAGTGATTATTTCTCGTGTTTCGTATTAATAGTGGTTATTATGAAATTTGAAAATTAGGAAGGAATTATGTTTTAATGGAAATTGGTACAGTTTGAAATTTTTATTTCGATTTGACTAGATAAAATGAAAGATACGTGATTCGTGCTGAACAATATGCTCTAAAATAATTGAGTAGTAGTTTGGAAGCTTCGTTTAATATTTGAATAAATAATTAGATATTAAGGGTGTGTGTGATGATTTAATTGTTGCTCATTATTTTGTAATTAGTGTATTTACCATTTATGTTTCTGGAGAACATGGAGCTACAGTGTCGCACTCTTACAGTGGAGGATCGAACGATTCGCCATTTTGTTCTTTAGATTCTTCGTTACCATCCAGTGGATAAATTCTTAGTTGATAAACCAGAAACAACAATGGTACATATAGTTGTCGATTGTTTGTATTTCTTCTTATTGAAATATCATCTATATTTCATCATCTTTAACTATGGACGATTCCAAAAATGTGTTTTTTCAACACGTAAATATAATTTTTGTATTGTTGATTTAAACATTGTATAGAATTTATAAATTCTACATTTGATTAAGCACAGCTATTTCGCACTACCAACTTTCCACCAAATTTTACGTTTCAAAAAACCTTTTCGACTGTGACGAATAAAAAGGGAAAGTACACATGGGTTATAGGAAAAGTCGATGCTTTATTTACTTTAAAAGGCGAGCGTACATAATACAAAGTGTTAAATCTAGATGACACGTCAATTAGCTGAAAAGAAAAAAAGGATTGTATTAGTGATTTATACAATGTTTCTATAGCATTAATATTATAATACTCAGAACCTTTAACATCTGAGTTAAAGAGTCCAATTACACAGAGTCCAATAGAATGGTCTATCATTTTTCAAAAACAAATGAAAAAGGCTATTAAACAGTACAAAAGCTGTTAACTATTAACAGACTATATAATTGGAAAACCCAAAATCATAATGCAGATTTAATAAACTCCGCCAAACCTATTATTACATTTCAAACACACTACAACTCCTAACAAAATGAACAAAATCAATTTCCCATAGCCTAATGCAATATTACACTTCAAAAAAGCAAACCACTAATCATTTTCAAGAATCCATCAAAATTCACTCAATCTCTAAACCCTAGATCACTAATTCTTATCAAAGCAACTACTTAGCAGTTGAACACAATGCAGAAACCTAGGATTAACACTAAAACTACCAAGCAGTTAAATTGACTTCTTAAACTTCCTCCATAGAAACTCTAAGAATCCATTAAGACTTCAATGGATTTTCAAATCAGTTTCCGTGTTGCTAAATTTCTTTAATAATTTCCCAGAGGAACATCTGTTACTCTTTAATCATCACAAAAATGAGAAATCAGCCTTTCTCATTTCCAAAAATCTCCCAAGAATTCTACCAAACATTATATTAAATTAAATATTATACTATAATAAGAAATCAGGAAAAATTCATTCCAACTCGTCTGGTACTTTCAATATCAAGTACATCAGCCTCTCTCATTTCCAAAAATCTCCCAACCATTCTACCAAACCTCTATGCTATCTATCCCAAAAAATGCCTACCATTTGGTAACGGAGAGGGGTTGGCAAGAGTCCGAGGGTCTATCGTACGCAAGTCCTGTTGAGCACTGGACCAGCTGGGGTCGTCCGTTTCTACAAACAACCACGTTCGTGCATGCGTCGTTCAACCTGTGCACATCCCCATTCTGGCAGGGTACAGCCACCAAACTGGCAGGGATATTCTGTATCAAGTTCCACGGATTTGTCGGCACCTCGGACTGAGACTCTTGTTGCGGCTGTTGTTGCTCGGTGAAAGACGTTTCTTGCTCTTCCTCCTCTTCTGGCTTGTCGACGTCCAATTGAGGCGACGAGGATCGTTGCCAGGGGTCGGAGCTGAACTTGCTGGTCAGCCAAGGGTTGGAGTACGAGGGGTTCGGATTCGTGGGATACGGATTCGGGTTCGTAGGGTAAGATGGCGACGGGTAAGTCGGCTGCTGCGTCGGTTGAGTCGGTCGTTGAGTGACTGGGGATGGCGTTGGGGTTGGAGGCGTCGGTTTCGGTGTTGCTGCGCCTTTGCAGTCCACGTTGTACGGGTAGTCGCATACGTTCAGCAGCTGTGAACGAATCGAGGATTAATTGAAAATTGATCAAATGAATTTTGCGGGAGAGCTTAGCGGAGTAAATACGGAAACGTTATTTTCTGATGAGATGCCTTTAACCCGGTCGAATGTCGGCGTTTCGCCGAGATCAAACTTCCATGTTTGGAATACCCAGTTGTGAACAAATGATTTAACGATTCGAACAGCAAGAAATCAGTACACGGTTTCCTTATTCTCTATGATTTAAGCATTCAGTGTTTAATTTAGCAGAATTCGCAAAAGGTTTTGTATACTTTCAACAATTTTCATCCGCAAAGGGTTAACACTGGAATTACTGAGCTTAATGCGATTAATAGTCGACTTTAATGATATCAACGCGATTAATAAACGAATGTTCGATACGAATGATATTAATATGATATCTAGTCTCTATGAAAATTGTAACAATAGATTATCTTCAGTTTCTTCGGATATACGTTGTAGTATTCAAATGAAACTATTTTCAATGTGATTCTCAGTATTCGATGCTTTTAAGATATCAGTAGTTGCGAAACAAATCGAAGTTAATCATTTTAACTGGACGGTAGTTCTAGTATTAAGTGAAATGCCAGTATTATATTTATAAGTATTACAGTAAAATATTTCATTTATCGAATCCTTCAAATCAGTTAACTTCGGAACTTTTCGATTCGTGAATTTCAAACGTGTCGCGATCGTTTAATATTCAACTTCAAAATCTTTAAGGTAATTTCGTTGGTTATTTCAAGGATGGTCATGGTTAGCGATAATTATTTAAACATCAAAACCTTGTGATCTCCTTGCGAACATTGAGGTATTAACAGTGTACTTACAGTAAAATATTTCATTTATCGAATCCCTCAAATCAGTTAACTTCGAAACTTTTCGATTCGTGAATTTCAAACGTGTCGCGATCGTTTAATATTCTCTTTCAAAGACTGCGACGCGATTTCGCTATATTTGGACAAGGCTGATTCAAATATTCAAACGCGAGATATTTTCCCCTCGGACGGATGTGAATTTCAAGTGGACCAGTCGGGAATGTTTTAGTCATCACACGAACTGGTTGCGCGGGACGCTACGTGGAAACAGACGTCAGACGCGTTAACATCGAATTTGATTTCAAGGAACGACGACGGAAGTCTTCGGTCGCGGCCTTTGACCGCGGACGCTGGGAAGCGGCACCAGCTCGACAATGACCGTACAACGATCCTTAACAACGCCGGTTTCGCGGCTTTAATATTCCGCGTGTACTCTAGCAGCAATTTCAGAATGGAGTTTCTTACGTCATTGTAGACCAGGCCGCGAGGGCAGCTGAACTTGACTGGCTTCCCGAAAACGCACACGTAGAATTCCGAGCAGTTCGTCGCACTTCTGTAACGGCCGTTCGGGTCTGGGCACAGCTTCGAGCCTGTTGGCAGCGGTGGTTCTGTGCGAACGAGATTTTTTCAACAACTTTCATCGTTCATGCATTTTCTTGTAAACATTGAGGTACTGGCAGTGTACAATTTCAAAATCTTTGAGGTGATTTCGTTTTTTATTTCAGGGATGATCATGCTTAGCGATAATTATTTACACATCAAAACTTTGTGATTTCCTTGCAAACATTGAAGTATTAGCAGTGTACAGTTTCAAAATCTTTAAGGTAATTTCGTTGGTTATTTCAGGGATGACCATGGTTATTTACACTTCAAAACTTAGAAATGATTTTAAAAATATTAGGTTCGATGAGACCTTTTGTTAATTATTTATTAACCCTCTGCACTCGGAAGTTTTTCACTACAAACGTTTGAACATTTTCTGATGAGATAAAGATATTTTGTGAAACTCGAAGAGAAATCACACGTACATTGGAAAAAAGCTGTTTTATTTCAATATTTCTCAAATTAATGCATTATACTAATAATATTAAATATCAAATTTTATAGTTTTACTGTATGAAATCAAGCGAGAGTCATCTCTCGAGTGCAAAGGGTTACGTTAGCTAAAAGGGTTTATTCAGTTGAATAATTATTTAATGAAATAAAATGAAGATTATAGAATAATATATGAATTAATGGAATTTTTAGTACACTAGAAGCTATCTAATATGATAGATCGTGTCTTGATTCTAAGATTATTCAAAGCAATGTATTTCGAAAGATACTAACGTAAATAATATAATCCAGCATCTCTATGAAAAGTATTACTCACTCGGTGTTGGCACTGGTCGATCACCGCAATTAACGTTGTAGTCATAGTCGCAGACCAAATTGACAGCATTGAACAGCAGACCGTCGGGGCAACTTTGCTCGATCACCACGCCGTCCCAACAGTTCAGATAGTTCGCGCAGCTCTTCGAACTCGGGAACTGTCCGCGCAGCTCGTAGCACCCTGGCGGTGGTTGAACCGGCGGTATCGGTTTAACGGTTACTATCGGTCCTGGTAGCTCGTTCGAGTCGCCAGGGTTTGGTACACCAGGATAATTCTGTCTTCCGGTCAACGTAACCGAATCTTCAGTAACGTTCGTCGACGAAGTCGGATTCTTGTTCCAGAAATCGGGATTGTCCAGCTTCTGAAGCTCTATCAGGTCCCAGACATTCTCTGTCGCGAAACATTGAAAAAGATCGATTCCGTTAAAATTCTATGAAAATACCGATCAACTTTGCACACAATCCCAAACTGTCTTCCTCCTCTCAATTCTAAACGAATGCAAAAACCGATCAATCGGAAGCCTTCAATAATTAGAATCTATCAACAGATAATCACAGAATCATAGACAGTACTAAAATTGCTTCGTTCAATCTAATCCATCGAATTCTCAATCTACATCATCCAAGAGACGCCTTTAATCGAATCCCAATCTTCCCAAAAAGTTCCAGATCTACCCTCAAATTCTGTCTATCCTGAAAAATTCTACTAACCTTGATGTCCATGGTGTCCCAGTTGCCTGCCCTGATAGTTGGGCACAGTAGCAGCCGTGGTGGTCCGCCTGGCAGCGTCGCAGGCACCCAGAGCCGTAACGAGCAATAATCCCAAGACGATCTTCATCCTGACCTCTAACCCTCTGTCCCAAGGTGCAGTCCGAACTTCAACGATACCGTGCGACCAGTCTGAATCCCCTAATCTCGAAGCTGGAAGGCACAATCACCGGAACAGGCAGAGATCGTTCACCGAGTCACCGTGTCGTACTGTCTGAAATCCTTTGCGCGATGTCCTGATGCTGGATGGTCTGGACCTGGACGGCTCGAGGGCTTACATAGGGCGTCCCCCACCATCCAGGCTTCGTAGGGAGTAGGTTCGCAGGACCCCAATTACACGGGCGCGGGATCCTGGCGGCGGCGCGGGGTTTCGCGGCTCAGGAAGTGCACGGGGTTCCTCTCTGCATCGGTCTGCCCGCGTTTCGTGTTCCCCTCCATGTTGTACAGGGACCCGCGGGGGTCGACACGAGGAGCACACAGAGCACGGCAAGGACGAGGCCGCCGTGGTTGCACGCGCTTATTGGAGGAGATTTAGAATGACCGGTCAGCAACGGCCGGCCGATCATTCGTTGATCCTCCGGCGTGCCCTGCGACGCGGCGGCTCCGTAAAAATGGCGTCGCGGCGGCGGTAGCTCGCGCCGCTCGACCGCGTAGGATGTCAAGGTCCCTGCTCGCTGAAATCGTACCCGAGTATTCGGGCATGTAAGCGGGTACTCGTGTAGCTGCCCATCGGACAGCGTTTTCTGCGATTCTTTTGTAACGGTAGTGGCCGCCCGTTCTGTCGCGAGGTCGCGATCGCCGGAGCTGTTGCGCGGCCTTATGCAATCGGTGATGCTTTGGCTGTCCTTATGGGGTACTTGTCTTGCATTGCTTCGGCTTGGGTGTTATGCAGTGATTGCTTGGGGACTCAGGTCGTTTGCCAATAGAGAGGTTTTCGAATAGAGTGATCGCTTTTTGGGAATGCTGAGTGTGAACGGGTAGTACGAATTTGGAACTTTGAATTGAAACAGATACCTTTGGAATAACCTTTCGAGTTGCACGAGTATTCACGGAGTATGTTGGACATTGGGTTTATAATAATAGTTGAATAGCAGATGCTAGAAATTGTCAGGCTTTCTTGAATCTTCCTGAAATATTGATCCTAAAATGAGGTACAAAGGACCTCTATCAATCATTCCATCTTATTCGAAATAACTCGGCGAATACCTCGCCGCAAAAAGCTTCAAAAAAATCGTACGGTGAACCACTCTTTCAGAGGTCCCTCGCTTCTTTCATCGCTAAATAAAATATTCATCGCTCAAGCGTTTCTGGGGTTTCCAGAAAACTGTCCCACGCGCACCGCCGGCCGATACGAGAGGAAGAAAAAAGGCGAATCAGGCTCGTCGATCCTACGTAATTCAAGGAATCGTTGGTCCTCCGCGATTCAAAGGAGGAATGTGGCGGAGGTAGATGCACTCAGGAGATTGCCGGAGTCTTAGCAGGACTCTCATTACCGAAATGCACGCTGATACCCGGCCGGAGCCTGCGAGTTCCTTGAATGTCTCAGTTCGCGGACCCTTCCCCCCTCGCGTCCTGGGCCAGGACATTGCGTGAATTTTATGGGGATTTTACGGTGCTGGTTAC